ATTTTTGTATGAAGGACCCACAAACCATAGATTCTAGCTACAGCACGTGCTATAGGATTTTTTCTACATTTAGCAAGTGGATTTATCCACTTTTTCGTTACCAGGACCCTGTAATAAGAGCTTTTCTATCACAAATTCGCCGCTTTTTCGCGCAGGATTAACGTTCGCTCTACTCCGTAGCGAGAAAGTAAAAACAGCAAAAGCAACACGTGCAAGAGGTGAGTCGCACATATGTAATGTAAGTTACTAAATATTAAAAATAGAAAGGGTATCTTTCTTACATTTAATCTAATGCAATATGGTAAAGTATACGAGGTAAATTAAATTCTTTGTGCAGTTGAATGTTTGAGATGAACCAGGATTCATGAGTGGCAAGTCTGAGAAAATTATTTTGGATGATCTGTAATTTATTGATATTAGTTTTAGAGGCATTGATTCAGATAGGGCATGCATAAAGCATTAGGGGTCTAATTAATGATTTATAGATAGTGATGGCATTGTTTAATGAGAGCTTACTATTGCGATTTAAGAGTGGCTTTAGTTGAATTAGTTTTATTTTGGCTTGCTGTGCTTTTACTGCCATGTGATTTTTACAATTTAGTCTGGTATCAATATTCAGCCCTAAGTATTTAACAGAGAGTGAGGTCATTGGAATTGGGTTATTGTTTATTTGGAGTGGAATTGGGGTTGAAAATATTCTTAATGAGATTCCTTTGGCGCATGATTTTGTAGGATTGAGTTTGATTTTCCATTTGACAGACTATTCATCAATTTTATTTAGATGTGTTTGAATTTGTTTACAAATTAGATAAGTTGAATGATTGGACATGAAAATTGCGGTGTCATCGGCGAATTGGGCGATGTGCGTGTGTAATGTTAGTCGGCTGTGTATATGTTGAAAAGCGTGGGGGACAGTGGTGAACCTTGAAGTAATCCAGCTGTAATTCTGTGGGGATTGGATGTGTGATTGTTAACTGTGACTGAAAATGTTGTATCTTGGAGAAAGCTCTTAATGATATTAATTAGATAGTTAGGAGTAACTATTTCTTTAATTTTGAATATTAATACAGGATATCACACATTGTCAAAAGCTTTCGAAATGTCTAAAAAGGTAACTCATTAAATCATTGTAAGTTGTTTGTTTATGTTGCCTTAGTGATTTTTTTACGATGTTGGACAGTAAATTTTACTCTTTCTTAAGCTGTGGGTTTCTCATGATGCATCAAAGTCTTCTTGTTTTGTTTCTAGTGTTAATAATTGTGAGAAGGTTTTCGGAAGTTTTTATTGAAGTGCTTAATGGTGGCGGGCTAAGCATTATTATTATTAAGAATAGTGATTGTGTTAATTATCATATTGCTTAAGAGGGCTATAGCTTGTTCTATTTTTACGGGAGTTTTTAATATTTTAAAGTGGTGTAATTGTTTTTGAACTACGTTCTTAAATTTTTTCCAGTTGATGTTTTGTGTGTTAAGTGTGAAAGTTGGAGTGTGAGGGGGGGTGATTTGTTGAATTGAGATGATGGTTGGTAAGTGATCTGAGTTTAGTTCAAAGAAGGGAGCTGAGCGAAAAATGGTTTGAATGCTAGAAATTGCAATATCTAATATATTTGGGTGTTTATTGTGATCTGTGGGGTAGAGAGTGTGTTCTGTTGGGATAATTAACTGAAGTTTGAGTTTCGTAGTTATTTTGCTGGGTTGGTGTTCTGCAGTATTGGTATTTCTACATCCTGTATAGTGTTTTTAGCATTGAGATCCCCAATCAGAAGAGTGGGCGAATTCATCTGGAATAGCGCTGAAATATTCGAATCAGAAATTTTTGATTTCGGAGGCTTGTATGCCGCTATTAGGGTTATTAATCTATTGTTTAGAGGGAATTTAATGGCTATAGTTTCGAGACCTGGAGTGTGTGGAAGGTTGATTTTAATAAATGGTATGGATTTTCTATTAGTATTAGTACACCACCTCCGTTTGCATTTGATCTGTCGGTTCTGACTACACTATAACTTGTTATGTTAAATATAACATCTGATTTTAAATGTGTTTTCGTTATGCAAGCTAGATTTATTTTGTTATCATTTAGAAAATAAGTTAGTTCTAAATTTTTATTTTTGATGCCATTCGCGTTCCAGTTGAGCAGATTTAAATTATTTTTATGGTAATGTTGCATTATTGTTGTTAAAATAGGCTGAGAGAGGTGCTTGTAAATTGCTGACTATTGTAGGGGTGATATTATTAATAATATTGACTAATAAGTAGGTAATTGCATTAATAATGGACTGAATGGGAGAGTTATTATTAGAATTATTTATAAGAGTAGGTTGTGTGGATGGGTTATTGTTAGGTTGGTTGTTTTGATTTGTTTTTTGGGGAGGGTTTGGAGCAAATGTGAAATTTGGAATATTGTTAGATGTGGGGAGAAATGGGAAGTTTTGTGAGGTAAGTCTTGGAGGTGGGTTGTTTCTTAATCTATTTTTAATATTGCCTGATTTGGGGTTATTTGAGAGGGTGTCTATTTGTTATTTATAGTACGGGCATTCTATTGATCTTAAATAAGCTCTGTGCGATCCATTGCAATTTTTACAGATTGCAGGTACGTCTTTTTGAGGGCAATTAACAGAATAGTGATCCTGTGCACAGAAAATGCACGCGGTTTAATTGTTACAGTTATTCTTCGAGTGTCCAAAGTCTAAGCACCGCATACACTGAACTAGACCTTTTGGCCTTCTACTTCTTTCTGGCTTAAGACAAATGTTCCAGATCTGATTAATTTGTAGCACTTGTTCGATACTTTGACTACCGTTGAATTCTGCTGCAATAACTGGAATGGGCACGTTATTTTTATAAAGTATTGTTACATTGGTGATGGACGGGAATTTGTGCTGAAGGTCTTCGGTTATTTCCTCTAGTGTAATTGTTGGATGAATATTTTTGAAGACGACAGAAAATTGTTTATTGGCTGGATCTTTGTGGGTGTGGAATTGTCTTTTAATTTCAATGACATATTTGATCGCTGTTCTGAAGTCTGCTATTGATTTAAACATTATTTTAATTCTGTTTCCGTTATAATCTGTTGTAAATTGGCTGGTTAATTTGTTTTTATTCTCTTTGTTGAATTCCGAGATATTGTAGATATTATTTACAAAAATGGGAGGGATTCTTAGATTTTCGTCTTCTTGGGGCGGAGTGACCTTGACAAACTCAAATCTTTTGTCTTGATCTGATAGTTTCTCTAGCACAGTATATCTGTTTCCCACTAGTATAATATACTGAGTTGAATCTGAAGTGGTTGATTTCTTATTTGGGGGAGGTCTATTTCTCCTGAGTTATGGGTTCTTCTAGCACTGTTAGTAATTGTTAGCGACTCACTGTTATTGTCGAAAAAGGCTGCTTCGCCGCTAGCTGCGTCTTTTGCTGAGCAGAGGTTACCAACCTGAAGGTTTCCGGCCCCGGTGAGCTGTTGCGAGCTGCAATCGGCACCTTGAACAGTTGCAAACTGCCCATACTGCATATTTCAGGCATGCTGTGGGTTTTGGCAGCTCGGGATGGCTCCAAATACCAGATGATGTTGAATTTCTGGACTGCTGGAGGTACTGTCCATGGCACACTCGCTGCCGTAAAGAGTTGCCATGTCTCTTGCAATGCTGTGACCTAGGTCACAGCTGGCTGAAGGGGGCTCACCGTTAATAATAACTGATAAGCGACTTTTGGTTTATGGCGCACTGTTTATTAGCTGATTGTGCTACACAACTTCACAACACAACGAGTACTTCACTGTTATACACTTAGTGAACTTTCTGAGTAACTGCACTGACTAGGCCGGAGCGAGCGATGTTGTCGCCACGGCTGTTCGGCGCTGATTGATTATGACGCTCTATGCACTTTGTAGATAATTTACTGGGCTTAAATTCGGCACGATTATCATGCTAGATTTTATATTCATTCACGCTCTTTTTTAATTGAACAACTGTCACGAAGTATATAAATATGTAACAAAAGTTTACATATGAAAAATAAAATATCAGGAACATTTCTACAGCAACAAGAAATTCACTGAAACCTCAAAACGAATACTTTTATCGGAATAGGTAAAAAGGATACATTCTAAACTTTACCTTATGAAATTTACGTAAGAAATATGTATTTAATACAATAGTTTTGTCAATTCGGCGTGAATGCACAAGATCTAGAACTTCAAATCTCTAAGAAGGTAGGGAATAAATACAACAAAATAGGAATCACAAAAAATTAAATGGTCAGAAAAGACAGGATTAAAAAACATTCATATTTATTAAAAATACATCTTCTATAAAAAATGTAAAAGAAATACAATTACTAAATGACATAATATTACAATGAGTTACAAAGCAAAATGCAACATTCTCTCTATCACTCACAATTGAAATGTATGGTTCTACGAATTATTTACCTGAAAGACAATTAAATTGTTCATATAAATTCCCAGAATTAATTAAAAGGCTTTTATTTTTTCATTGAATCTAATGAATATCAGTTTTGTTAAGGGAAAATTATGAGGACACAGTGTTTTCTTATATTTGTATCAATCACCTTAAAATGTGTACTTCTTTTTGACGCCTTCAATTCATATTTTAAAACAATCTCTTTTACATTTGAAGGGCAGGGGTAATGTAGAGCTAACCCACATTTCACAAATCCAAAATATAGTTCTTATAATTTAAAAAAGATACAAAAAAATCATTACGATCTAAATACAAGTTGAAAACGCTGTACAAACGTGTCCATATAACTACAGTATATACTACAGGTTATCAACTAAATATCGGACTAAATAAAACGTGAGAACAAGTTCCATTGTATTGATTTTTTGCACACTATAAAACAAACATGAGAAAAAGTTACGGTTTTTAAGCCACCATTATCAGCGATTCTATGTAAAATAATAAAAATATATAAAACAATAGCACATTAAGCTATTTTGTTCAGACGTTTTGCTATTCACCTCCCTCTCGGTGAACATAATTCTCACAAAGATTGTGGTTCATCAAAATAATTACTTGTTATGTTTGTTTCCACCATATTTTCTTGATTATTTTCCCGACTATTTTCTCTCTTGGGTCGTTTAAGTGGAGTAGCAAGTGTTAATCTCGCCGGCATCATTTCATCTTCCATTTCCAATTTGAGGCTTCTAAGTACGTGTAGCTCGCTTCCAATAGCAGCCTGTTTCTGCGGCTTCTTTCTCCACCCATCGAGTAACAGTATCATGACCGCCTCGAAGGCAAAGACACAAAGCAACTGTGTCGAAAAATCCATGGCTCCGACTCCGAAGAAACTGTCCACGATTCGCGTGAGACGCTTCCTCTTATTATCCCTCTCAACCATCTTCCTCTAACGGCAGACCTAGGACGTGCATCCGTAACGACATCCGCTAAAAAGTCTGACGCACTTTAAAGCTTTCCTCTTCCTCTATTTATTGACAAGCATTTAGTATTGAAGGCGAAAACATATCTGTGAATTAGTTATACTGAAATCATCATAGATTACTTGATTGTGCAACAGCTGTGTGCATAAACCAACTAGACGTCTATTGGTTTCTTTCCATGAAAAAATATCAACTTCTCTAATTAATTGACGCAAAATGAACTTTTAAAACTTCAATGTAAGGGAAGTTCTGCAGAAAGCTTGAGCACTCACATGATGGCTTTGACAATGATAATAATGATAATGATGATAATAATAACAATAATAATAATAGGTAAAATACCTTTCTTTTCACACTGTCATTATCAGAAGTAATCTTTACAAAAATATATAAACTTGTTGTTTGGTGAAACAACGTTGCGCATGTTAACTTTCCCGAAACGAAATTTACGAATTTTCTAATCATTTACTAATTGAGAATGTTTATAATGTGACGGGTCATTATTATGGTAGGAAGAGAGAGAAAAAATATCTGAATATTGTTGATTAATTGATATGAGGTCAGTTGCTCTCGCTCGACTGGACGAGGGCACGGGAGGGCTCCACTTCTCTCTCCAGATGAACCTTAAGAGAATATGTAATGCAAAAATAGCATGTTCCTACTCACTAACACTTTACTTTTACATTACATTTCATTTCAAACTTAATTCCCATTACTATCAGTTTTCTTTTAATTTACTTATATTTGTTATTTATGCTTACTATCAGTTGATCCTCTATTTTACATTTATTTAAATGGTTGATTAAAGATTGAGATTTTCTGAATTACAAACACAGGAAAGAATTTTAAGGCATTGTGATATAATGTATTTTAAATTGAGAAAATTTAATAGATGTTATTTCCTTCTTTAAAAACCTTTGGCTATTAATACTCGTGGAACTGCATAAGTATTTTTATGAAATATGAAATGTGAACTATGGAACATATTAACTCCAGAATTTTCAAAAAGCGTGAGCTTGGACACTTTTGATTTAAAATATAACTTTGAAAGAAATATATCTACACACTTAAAATCATACATATTTAACAAGGAGATGGAGAACATTCTTCAGAAAGAGGTTAAGGGATTTACGAAAGGAAGAATCTGCAGTGGTGCAATTTTCATTCTGAAACGTATTAAAGAAACGCACAGAATACTAAAAAGTTTTTTAGAAAAAGAATTTAAAAAATCTGCCTACGTTCCTGGATTATTGCAAAGTTAATGACAGAGTGGATATATCAAGATTATAGTATGTTTCAGAGAGCTATGACATTCCAGGATAAATGCTATTAAAAGCGTGTACCAGAATACCGAAATTTGTATAAAGTTGAGTGATTGCAAAACATCGGACGTATTGTAAAAGTCAACCAAGGATTAAGAAAAGGATGTGATTTGTCCTCAACCCTCTGCAACATATACATGAACAAAATGATAGATCTACGCAGAGCTTGATTTATACAACTTTAGATTTCGGAACGCGCCCCAAATTAATGATTAATTTAATGAAAATAGTTGAATATGTATATTATAATTTAATAATTATTCCCGAAGTACCGGAACATAGCCGTTCCGTTGTGTACCGCTAGAAATCAAGGCTTGGACCTATGTTACTTTACAAATCCTAAAAAACATATCAATAACAAAAAATAAACAAATTACGTAACAAACTTATGCATCAAGTTCTTTTAGCTACCTCGGAAAACGATATCCAAAAAATATAACAAGCCTTACTCGAGTGCTACAGAACTATAATTTAAGGAAATCTAGTCAACAAACTAAAGCTGTGGCACACCAAGGTAAATATTTGAGAAAAATAAACATTTTTATAAACACCAAATTATTCAACAAGAATTCCAACTTCACTTACCTTGGCTGCAAAATATCAAATGACATCAATCTCCCAAAAATTAAAAAGAATGTAAGTAAATACAATAAGTTGAATGGCCTTATAAAGAGGCATTTTAAAAACAAAATGTTAAATAGCACCCTTATGAGATTTCACAATGTGATACTTCAACTCGCACTCTGCTTCACAAGTGAAACGTGGACACTAAGAAAAAATGTCGAAAGAAGATTAGAGGCTACCCAAGTCAATTTCTTAAGAGCTCTACTGGGTCTCCACTTGAGAGAAAGAGTTCCAAACGAAGACATAAGGTCAATGTTAAATATTGATGGTATAGTAAATGACATTAAAAATACGAACCTAATTGGTTCCAACATCTAAATAAGATGGTATCAAATAGTCTTCCAAAGTTAGCTCTCATATATAAATCTAAGAGAGATAAGAGGCTACAGAGATATAGGTAGGTCTAGAATGGTAGTCAGAGCAGTTCTGCGTCTTCGAAAGGGTCATTGGCTCCCAATCCTTGTCAAGGAAGAAGAGAAGAAGATTTAAAGTCATTTTATTATTACAGATGAAATTAAACAATAACGTTGCGATAGATTTTTCATATTTGCATATTATACCTTGCGTAACTTTACTTTGTGAGTATCACTGAAGCAGTGATAAAGTTGACCGACACAAAATCGTGAGGAAATTTTAGATTAAATAGATTCATACTGGAAATGTTCACCGTATCTTGTGAGCACATGAAGAAAACAGATTCAAAACACGAAGTAAATACGATAAGTGATGAGTTTGAAACATACATTTACACTCTTTATATTTCATCATTTAACTGTTTACAAACTTCATTATCACAATTAAAAGAAAAATAGTTACATCAATATTCATTCAACAAACTTAAACCTGTATATCCTCTTTTCTTGGTGTTAAACATATTGATTTCCTCTTTCAACATTATTGTTTACTTCATCATTGTGCTACACGATGGATGAAATAAATAAAATTCAGAAAAATATGTTGTGAGCATAGATTTAATTTCTATAATATTTGTTTAAATATTAGTATATGTTTATTGTTTAGCATATTTCGAAACACTTATCACACATGTTCATTTAATAAAAACGTGACATTATGTAAATTTCTAGCGCATTATTTGAGCCACTAGCTGCATTCAGTTCTTCACGTAATGCAGCATGCACAGAAAATTGCATTAGCAATTGTATTGCAATTTATTAATTGCACTGCATTACAAGCTCTCTGGTGGGTCCCAGGAATCCTCTTTCATCACTACCTTAGGCAACACGGATCCGTCAACACTAACAGGCAAAAAGTCCATCTCAGCGGCTATTTCTGTATTGGTATTTCTAACTTCACCCCCTAGGTTCACCCCAGACACCAAAGCGCGTCTATCTCTTTCCACAATTCTGGTTGTCGGTATCAAAACTTCCAACAGGCGCAACGCCGCAGCCTCCACGGCCAACAAAACCAGCATGACCGTCTGCAGGTCCATGACTAGCCCCGCGAGCCCGTTTGCCTGCACGAGGCGGGCAGGTGATGGCGTGCAGGTAGTTGCGTGAGAAGCTGATGCACAGAATGACATCCGGCCCAGCGAGGACAGGAAGTACCGCTTAGTCATGCACCTTCAAATACCGGACCCGCACGACCACAGTGTGAACGTGTTTCAGAAGGGGAAACCCACTCACGAGAAATGGTTTCACAAAAAACACTTCTTAATACTAATTTGAGGGAGAGGTTATTTGATTATCTCTTAATAAAACTGAATAATTTACATTAAACAAGCTCAGTTGTATTTGGAGAAGCCACTTACTTTTTCCACAAAAATGTATGGACAATAAATATTTGTATTCATAATCCATTCATTAAGTTCGACTTTTACAAAGACTCAGGTTCATCCCATTTATTTCCGTTCAGTAATACCTCAGGTAAAAAAGATAGGTTTACCCGAGACGAGAAAAAGGTCTTTACCCAAATAGGCAGGAAGTTCATCGTCGTTTTGATTTCTGCATTTGAATCCTTCACATTTTTGGTTACTACGTTCGGTTCCTCCACCGGTCGTAAGTTTCCTTCATCGATTTTCGATACCACTACACAGTTCTTCATCTGCAGCGTCAGCACAGCTGCAATGGTCAATACAACGAGCATCGTCCCCAGTAAGCTCATGACTAAAGGGAAAATTGACATCCTGCCATTTCATCGCGTGCTGGCGGATTATAACTGAATGATGGCGCAAGCAACTGCAACAGAGCGCGGAAAATGCTTCCAACCCATCAAAAAGAGACCGTTAGCACCGGGGCGCAGTCGATATTTTGCGTCACCTGATGCTCGCAGGACAAAACGACTCAGGTAATAAACAGCGGAGAAATAAATAACATTTCTGCACTGCTGATAATTTATTATAATAAATTCACTTTTATAGTTATGAATACACCAGTGTAATTTGAACCCGTTTGTTTAACATCCGCAGTCAAGTTTTGTAACATGTATTTTTTTATGTTTCTAATCCAGACTAATAAAACTTTGAGATCATACGAATTCAAAGGAGATTTGAGTGTGTAACCCATCCAACTCTCACACAAATGCACAAAATATTTAGATTAAAATAATTCAAAATTGTGACGTTAAGGTGAATTCCTGAAACTTTGAAGATGTATATGACAATACATTATACTGTTGATTTCGGGAACGTCGTAAACTCATGCCTGATGCTTTACAAAAATTCTTAAATTGATAACTTTGCTAAACTTCGAGAGCAAAAAAACCTAGAAACATGGTTTTTTGAAATGTCTAAAACACAACCTCGCAGGCAAAAAAGAAAATGTACGATATAGGCACATCGTAACTTTTTATTTTAATTATTATATTGCAATGACAAATAGAAAAACTTCAATGGTACTTCGACATCTAAACTCTGAAAGACATAATGATTGACTCTGAAAGACATTCTGACATCACTGACAGAATTATTGAGTATTACTTAAACATGT